GCTACCTCCCTCTTTTCCTCCCTGGCTGGGAACCCTGCTCCTCCTGGCTTGTGCACTGCCTTAACTCTAGGCACAGCCAACAGAATTGTGAGGACAAGTGATGGACAGTTATTACTGAGGAATGCATGGGGACAAAGGGTTTAAAAACAGCATGGTCCAATATAAACACAGGGTCAATGGTCACCCTACCTCTGCTCCTCCCCTCCAGTCTCTGCTCCTCCCTCCCACCTTCCCACCAGCCTTTTTCCCTCCCCACCCCTTCTTTACCACTGTGTTGTGCCAGCAGGCTCTGTCCCTGTTCTAGCCTGGGGCACAGAGCATGGCCCCAGCCCATCCTTTGTAGCAGCCTTGCAGGGTGCATACTGCTGCTACAGAGCCTGGGCTGGGGCTGTATTCAGTGGCCCAGGTTGCGGCATACATGCAGCCTGCCAGTGCGGAGCAAGGGTAGAGGGTGGAAGGGAGAGGGGCAGGCGGGGGAGCAGAGACTGCATGGTGTGGGGTGGGGGGAAGATAGCAGGGTATAGAGGTGGCAGGGGGTGGACTAGGAAGGAACTGTGGCTACAGCCTGACCTTGAGTAGGGCCTGGAGCCCAAGCCACAGCAGCTGCCTGCCCTGCCCCCACTGCCCTCATACTTAATTCTAAGATGAGGGGCTTCCCCCCATGTTAAATAGGGGGAAAAAAATCCTGTCTTAGAATTAAGTAAATATGGTAACCTAGTGGTGTAGTTCTTATGGGTGAAAGTAAGGCTCAGCTGGGTAAGATTGTGCCTGTGATAAAGATTGTGCCTGTATTTGCTGGGTAAGATTGTGCCTGTGTTTGCAAATTTTGGTATTCTGCCTGCTTGTAGAAAAAGAGACAGGCAAAAAGGAAGGGATACTATGCATCCCAAGTCAAACAAACCCAGGCCCATCACTTGTTAAACATGGGGGTGGATTACTAAGTAAAAAAACTAAGAATATAACTATGCTGCTGCCCCCACTTTTGGAAGAATATGTTTTGTCAGGCTATGAAGAAATTGTTTTTAAAACAGTATTTTTCAGCCTTGACAGTGTATTGTTTATTAAGTGCTAGATATATGCTTGGTGCTGTTTTATTTTATCCTGTACTTTTCACATGTGCCAACGTGAAGCACGATAGCTCAAAATGTCTATCATTCTCTAACAAACAGTTTGTACAGTTGACCAAATAACACTTCCTCTCTTTGCTTTCATTTTCTTCTTTTATCCAGATTTCAGTCCTCGCTATCAAAGATGTTAGTTGCTAAATGATTTTTATAGCATAATTTTACAGTTTTTTTAATAGAGAAGCCTTTTATACATACAGCTTATTTTAATTAATAGCCAATTAACATCATTTCCATTAATGTTTATTCCATATTTAGTTGCCTGAATTTAATAATAGAAACATATACTTATATAGCACCTTTCATTTTGAAACATCCCAAAGCACTTCAAACACACACAAAACATGTTTCTTTTGGGGGAAAGTGTCAGTATGCTGGTGCAGGGCACACTGCAGAAACGCAGTGAGGGAAAAATATGACTCAGGATACAAAGACAAAAATTTATTCCTATATAAAGATTATTGAGAGCATTCAGATTTGCATACAAAAAAAATCATACTGATGAAATTTGAATTGTTTGTGCCAGGGAGTCTAGATTGCACATCTAATGTTTGTGTCTCTAAGCTATTTAGCCACTCAATAATCTTAATTTTTTTCACTTCTTTCTGTACTACTTATTTGCAAATCCCTGCCCAAGCCATTTTATCTGTTAAAGAGCATTTTCAATTGGACTTACCTTAGAACACAATACTGCTGTCCATTAACTGGAAGACTGTTCACTACTTAGTACTACAAGGTGTTTCTCAGAACACCAACCTAACACTGGTCAGGAGAACAAGAGACTGAGGCCTAGAGATTCAAATCAAAGATTTGATTCTTATACTAAGTCTATGTTACAATCTTCTGCATAAAGGAGATTTAAGGTTGACATAAATAGAATTCATCTACACCTCAGTGCTTATTAACACTGTTAGAGCAATGTAAAGAACCTTAATAAACTAAAATGAGACACTAACACTTTTAATCAAACCTGGTTCTTTAGACCATCAGTATAAGGAGTCCTAGTGGTTAAGGCATTCATCTGGTAGAACACTGAGGGGCATCTTCTAATGTATATTTAATTAACTGTACAAAAAGTAGAAGTTTGTATGTGAGAAATTGGAAGAGACACCCCGAAGAATACCTTCACAGCCCAGGGGTTAGGACATTCTCCTGGAAAGCAGGGGACCTCAATTCAAATCCATGGTCTGAGTCTGGCAGCCCTGACCTCTGTTGTATACTGGACAATGTGGAGGGAACATTATCACCATCACCTCCTCCATCTTGTGAATGACACCTAAACTATCCTCTTTCGACCCTAACCCCCTCACCTCCAACTGAAACATTTTGATTTAGATGTGCTGAAATCAACACTTTGACATTCTTGAAATTTACAAAAAATAAAATAAAATATTTGGCCAAAAATATTCACAGTTCGGATTTAGTGACAAGCTTTGATTCTTCCCAAACTGCATTTTTGCTACAAATAAACTATGTAAAAAAGAATAAGTAAATGAATAAATTGTCCAGGATGTCTATTAACTTTTTGGAAAGGAAAAATAGCAATAAAAACTAACTGGGTAGAAATGACCATTTACAGCCATTTTTTTAACAATACTGCCTGAAGCATCCTATTTGAAAATGTGCGAGTAGAAACAATAGACACAAGTGAATAGATTCTCATCTAGAAGTGACCTACATAAACCATAATTGGCTATTAGGGTGTAACTCTATTAATTGTATCAAGTGCCATTATTAGAAATTATGAAGTCCTTCATACCTGAATGATATGCTGTTTTACACCAGCGGTGCTCAACCATTCTGCACTGTGGACCAGACAAGTGGTTCAGCATTGGTCTGTGGGCCAGATTCAGTGCACAGGATTCATCCATGGGTCCAAAAACATATATACCCCTAGCCCAGTATGTGCCAGATTGGGTCCACCACCCCAGCCTCAGCCCTGCATGTGCCAGAGTGGGTCCATTGCCACACCGCAGCCTCATGCATGCTGGATTGGGCTTGCCACCCTGGCCCCAAGTGCTGGACAATGCACAGATCAATGTCATCTGGCTGCAGGGCTTGGAAATTTGGCTGCAGGGGAATGGTGGCAGTGTTAATTGCTATCACTGCCTTACTACCAAATATCTGCACCTGTGGGGAGCCCCACGAACCAGATGATACAGCTTCATGGTTGGATCTGGACTGTGGGCTTGAGAGTGAGCACCACTAATTTGCACATTTTGCTACTACTTCTAATTACACTTAAGAACATATTTGGTACTTTATGTATGGTAAAACAACAAATAACTGATGTACCTCTTTGCATCTCGTATTAAAAGCAGATTCCATTTTTCTTCTGGTTTCTGGAATACAGCACTTCTTCATAACAGGAAAATAGTGGGGATACTTTAAGGTAACTTTATACTCATCCTCTATCATTTCTAAGCTATTGATGAAGTCATCAGGAAGGCCTTCTGTGGTAAACAATTTAATCACAAGATTTGAAAAAGGATATTCTCAAGAAATGAGTTTTTGTTGGTTTTTTTTAACACAAGAATATTTAGCATAAAACAATATTGCACTTACCAATAACCAGTTGGCTATTAGAAGCCTTCATAGAGGTATAACTGCATGTTTTACAGCTATTTGCTAATGCTTTTGATAATCAAATAAAACAAATGAAAGCTAGAGCTAACACGATTAAGTTCATAGCGGACAAATGCAAGATACTATACCTTAGAAGGAATAATCAAAAACACAAATATAAAATGGGTAACACTTGGCTGGATGGCAGCATTATGGAAAAGGACTTGGGAGTCCAGGTAGACCACAGACTCAATATGGATCTGGAGTGTGTTGCAGCCGCATAAAAGGCAAATATGGTATGGGGATATATCAATAGAAGCATTAGGTACAAGACACAGGAGGTGATAGTGCTTCTTTACTTGGCACTGCTTAGGTCTCAGCTAGAGTAGTGTGTACAGTTCTGGGCTCCTTAATTTTAAAAAGGACATGGAGACTTTAGAGAGGATCCAGAGGTGGGCAACAAAGAAGAAAAAGGGCTTGGAAAACAAGGCATAAGAGAGGCTGAAGAGCTAGGCATGTTCAGCTTGCAGAAAAGGTGCGTAAGAGGGGACAAGATAGCAGTCTTCAAATACCTGAAGGGCTGCCATAAAGAAAAGGGAAAGCACCTTTTCTGTGTTACTGCAGAGAAGAGAATGTGGACCAATGGCTTGAAGTTGCAGCAAAGTTTACATTGGCTATCCAGAAAAAAAAACTTCAACACTGTGAAAATAGTGAAGAACTGGAATGGACTGCCAAGGGAAGTTGTGGACTCTCCATCACTGGAGGTGTTAAAGATGAGGTTAGACAGCCACTGGTTGGGGATGATCTAGGTGTAGCTATGCCTATGTTTTACTATAGGTATTTCCCTTGCTTCTGGGCTTTGATGGTTGCCCTGTCCCCACTTTCTCCTACATGTGTCAGGGCGTTTTTAAGCTTCTCTCAGAAGCATTGGATGTTGGCTACTTTGACTGGGGTGTTAATACTCTTGCTGGGATCAAACCCTGAGGTTCCTGGCTAGATTGTCTTGCCCCTCTGCCCAAGGTCAGACTGATTGCCATATTTGGGGTCAGGAACGAATTTTAGCCCTGGTCAGATTGGTATAGACTTTGGTGGTGTTTACCTTCCTCTGTACTGTGAGGGAGAGGTGTGGTGCTGTACCTAGGATCTCTTGAGCATATATTGCCATTTCACAGAAGCAGGACATTGGCTGCCATGGTTCTCCTCCTTTACCTGTTGCAGGTTAGGGGGTTAAGTCTGTGTTGTGTCAAGGTTGACGGTGGTCTTGCATAGAGTTCAGATTATGGTTTGTATGGGATGGTTTGGAGAGGGATGATCCTGCATCAGGCAGGGGGTGGACTAGATGACCTAGGGAAGTCTCTTCCAGCCCTGTTTCTCTATGATTCTACGAAATCATTAACACTTGCTTGCCAACATCACAATGAAATTAGCAGGATACCACAAAATTAAAACTGAATACAGTTTAAAAAATCTTCTCTAATTTTATTGAGATTTGGGATCACCAAATCATTTACAAAAACAGTGAACCATGTGAGCAATAAAAAAATTAATCTTTAAAATATTTTTTAGATCAAGGAAGGTAGTTTAACAGCCAGAAGGGAAGAAAAGTGGAGTAATTTCAGAAGTATGGAATACCACAATTGAAGTAGAATGAAGTAGTAGCAAAGAATTGAGGGGACAGGACAGAGAAAAAACAAGAAGGGAAGAACAGAGTGGGGTAGCAGGGTAGTAAGTAAAGTTGATGCAGTGTAAATCCATGAAGAATTTTTAATTTCACAAAGTAAAATTCTAAACTGAATTTGGAGATGGGCAGAGAATCAGTTAGATTCACAGCAATTTGATTGTCTGGATGTAGTTATTTATCCTTGCTTTAGCAAAATGCCAAAAAGTATTCCTAAAATAAAACTGGCAGACAAGGTTCTTTGGGTGCATCTGGTATCTTTTATTAGACCAACTGAAATAGTTGAAAAAAAAAATGTTAAACAAGCTTTCAGGTTTAAAAACCTTTCATCAGGCTGATAAAGTTTCTGCAGTTGGTGTCTGCTCTTCCTGGATGGAATGAGAAGTAAAGAGGCTGGGCTGGTATGCATACAAAATAGGCAGTCAGCGAAGATGTAAATAGGATAGATGTATGTCCTTAGACCAACACGGCTACAACCTACACCCCTGTAAAATAAAAGTGTAGCTCCAAAGGAAAATATTTCACTTACCAAGTTCATCCTTAGAAAATATAAGAAATGTGTTTTCTTCATTGAGGTTTTTGTTGAAATCTATACATAGCTCACTCAATTTTTTCTTCATCGTCTTTATTTCCTAAATTGATATAAATCAAACTGACAGTCATAGTTTCATAGTAGTTAGGGGTCAGAAGGGACCTGAATAGATCATCTAGTCTACCCCCCCGCCACTGGTTGGAGCACACGACCCCAGACAGGTGTTCATCCAACCTCTTTTTGAATTTACCCAAGGTAGGAGTGAGGACCACTTCCCTAGGAAGTTGGTTCCAGATCCTAGCTACCCTTACAGTGAAATAGTGCCTCCTAATTTCTAACCTGAACCTATTCTCCAGCAGCTTCTGGCCATTGTTCCTCGTCACCCCAGGTGCTGCTGGGGGGAATAGGACTCTTCCTATTTGCTGCTGATCTCCCCTAA